TCAGTTCACAACATCCTCCCCCTTATAATATGAACTTAGCTATGCAATTTCATACAAGAAAAGAAAATGAGAAAATACAAAACCCGTGCACTAAAGAGTACAAAAGAAGAAGAAAATGAAGAAAAATAGCAGCCCTTCACTGTATCAGCTCCCTTTGTTGTCTTCTTCGGGTTCTTTTCCAAGTGTTTTCCCTCCTCTATTGYCTTGTTATCTCTAGGGTTTGATAATGATGAATCAATGGAGGCAACCTTGAATGCAAGCTTTTATACTCCTCCTCAATTTTAGGGCAACCAAAATGGATAAAACGGGGCCCAGCTCAATTTAAGGTGAATCTGCATTTTACTACAGTAAATTCTAAGGTAAAAATCTGTCACTATCAGCTCTGTCTTTTTCTGCTTTTTTGATTCCGATGCTACAACATCAAGAATGCTGCATCAAGATATTCAAAATGAGRACATTCTTCATAACTCTCAGCATTATCAGCAAAAATAAGGAGGATAGTGAATTYATAACATTCTTTGTACAAAATCATTGTAGATTGAGTGTTAGTGAGGCTATCCTAATTAGCTAATTTATATGAAATTTTACACACACAAATAACTCTCCAATAGATTTATCATTGTGTAAAAGTCAGGCCYGTTGCATTTTATCTTATCTTTGGTTAAATCGAATCTGATCCAAGATCGAGGTCAAAGTCTATGTAAAAGCCAGATCCATTGCATTTTATCTTATATTCGATTAAATTGAATCTGATCCAAGATCGTGGTCGGARCCAGGTATGTTGCATTTTATCTTACCCCGATCCAATATCGAGATAGAAGTCTGTGTAAAAGCAAGGTCCATTTCATTTTATCTTTTTGTTAAATCAAACTCGATCAAAGATCAAGGTCGAGCCTTGTATTAAGCTAGGTATATCACTTATATTCCATTCCTTTAAATAAAATTTCCGCCTATCAAATATTTGGTCCAGCTCAAATCTTTTTTTTTTCATTTTTTTTATTAAAAAATTATTTATTCTAGTCTTTATTTGTTTTTTAATTATTGATTTTAAAGGAAAAAGAAAATAACTAGAAGTGTTAAAATTAAAAGCAATTAGATTATTTAAAAATAAAATTAGATTTTATTAAAATAAGAAATAAAAAAGGATTTGTTTTAAACTAAAAAGATCTTAATTTTTTAAGCAAAAAGAAGTTTAATCTATCAAAATCCAATAACATGACATTTTCTTTAACCCTCTTCATCCCATTTTTTTCTTTAATTATTCTGTACCCTCCCTTTGTTTGTTTCCCTCGTTAGTAAACCCTTCTTTCTCTCTCTTAAACACCCATTTTCTTTTTCTTTTCTCTCTCTCCACAACTCCACGTCTTTTCCATTTTCTTCCATCCTCTTACTCCGGCAGCAACGGCAGACTGGTWGTTGGAAAAATTACTTACCAATAATATTTTCTCCTTCCGTAGTTCCTCAGTAAAAATTAAGTCAATTACAAAAAAAGATAAATATAGTTGGAAAACGCAGTAAATGACACAAGASATTTATACTGGTTCACCCTAAGTATGGGTTACGTASRGTCTTCCGCGACAACGAGATCTAGTATGATATTGAGATAATACAATAATCTCTCAATCTAGAATCCTCAACAAAAGTCACCTAACTTCTAAGATGAACAACAATAAAATCCTACGAAACAAGAATAAAAAACCTCACAAAATACCCTCGAGAATTGGTTGCCGACTTTGCTCTAGAACCCCCGAGATTTTACCTCTGAAACTCTACCAAACACTACTGCCACACCTCTAAAATCAGTGTGCCAACACTGCTCCGACTGCCCGATGTATGCGACAACACACATAAACAAAACCTTAAATAAAACGGCTCTATTAATAGAGGTCGAAAATCCTAATCCTTATAGAAAAAAACAATATTACAATCATTTTTTTTTTTAGTTTCCTATTTTCGCTGCATTATCCCAACACCGGCAGTGGCCCAGCTCTTGCGACCTACAACAACCTGGAGCAGCAGTTTTCAGCCCGTTTTCTAGCGACCCACGACCTCAGATTCTGGCGGCGCTACCGGAACATCATGAACTCCGACAGCACAGTAGATCCGGCGACGACAACACTCCGAGACAGACCTTCAACAACCTCAATCCTTACGGCTTTTAAAACCACATCAGTGAAAACGTGGATTATGAAGTTTTTTCAAGGGAGAAGGAAGCATTTTTAGAAAGTGAAAAACATTTTTAGAAAGAAGCCTTTTTTTAATAAGGAAATAATTTTTTTTTTTGGAAAACAAAGTTTTTTTTAAGGAAAAAATGTTTTTGGATTTTTTTTTTGATAAAAGGAAGGAGTAAGTTTTAAATTAATATTTTTTTTATAGGAAAATAAAAGTTTTGATAAATAAAAATTGTTTCAAAATAAAAGAGCTTTTTAAATGAAGGTAAATAAAAAATAAATTTAAATGAAAAGGATTTGTTTTAAAATAAGTTTCAAATAACGCTTTTTTGAAATAATAAAGAGAGTTCATTTTAATGAAAAAGTAACAAAACTTTATTTTTAAAACAAAAGAATTTTGTTTCAATTTTTTTTAAAAATTTAGTTTGAAAAATTAGTAAAATTTGTTTTAAATTTAAATTGAGTTTTTTAAATGAGTAAACGTTAAGTTTTTTTTTTCTTAAAAAAAAGGTTTTAATTATTGGCTTTTAACTAAAATTTTTTAGAAAAGAAAAATATAAGTTTTTTTTAAAAAGAAAATCATGTTTTTTTTTTAATCTATCATTGTTTTTAAATACATTATTTTGAAATTAATTATTATTTCGAAAACTCCAATTACGAAAATTGGAAATGATAGTTTTCCGATATAGATTAATTCATATTTTATAGTAAAATGTGAATTAATAAATGAGAGACACTTAAAAAACACAAAAATATTTTTTGTTTGGACCAAATAAAATAACACGATAATTTAAAATAAAATTTGGTAATCGTTTTTTAAACCAGTGTTGTATGGTGTTTACAACTCCCCTACACTCAATTGACTCTTAATTTTTTTAAGTAAATAACTAATCTCACCTTGTGAATGGTTGGTTGGAGTCATGGTTGGTTGATTGGAGTCATGGTTGGTGGTGACTCCAAACTCTTATCTCGAYAGAGATCGATGACGTTAGCCACTTCGCGTCGCAATGACATTGCAACATAATGCACTGATTGCAGACTGACCCGACGTCGAAAAAACGAAAATTATAAAGAAAATCAATAGTTCTAATACCATGATGAATGTTAGGGACAAGAAAAAATAGAGAATAACAGAATACGATTTCACTAAATTAAATTCCGTAATCTCTGTAGAAATCTACCCACCAAAAAATTGATGATGAATATAAAATCTAAATCCCATAATATAATTTATAATCATAAATCTAATTCAAATAATATCTACAAAGTAAAATCTAAATCATAATAGAAACCCGCTAATATAATTACAATCCTGTCAAATCATATCATGATTCAACGAAAATAAAGAATTCGATTAAAATACGATTATTCCATTGACGATTTTTCTAGATTCAGATAAAAAAAGTGGTGACACCGTAAGATTCTCCAAACTTATAATATGAACCCCAAAATTTTATTCAACATAGAGATTCTGTCGTCCACTAATCGATTGTTTGCTTTTTTATTTTATTTTTGTTTTTTTGTGCTTTCTTATTCATCTAGAATCTTAATCTTAGATAGGTAGTTTAATACAACCAATGTCAATATACAACATTTATTTCATGTATGTGGTCAATGACATTTGTACAGTTTTTTGGTTCAATTTTTAGAAAAAAAAATTATTTTAAAAGAATTACAAATTTTCTATCAACAAAACTTTTTTTACATGAMAATTTACATMATAAAAATAAGATTGCAAAAATAAACCCATAAACTATATAAATTGTTACAATATATCAGTACAATATTTGTTACAATATATAAATTGAGATATTGAGTAGSTTATGAGATATAGAGTAGTCATTTCTCACATACTAAACTCACGTCCACGCTCGTATGAGCTGCGTAGACTCCTTTTTCTGTGCCCATCTCACTCTCTATCTACATATATAAATTTAATAGAAACCCTCATCAATGTAAGCTAGAATTTTTACGCGCAAACTCTAATGTGAATTYTGACACACCCAAGCAAATTCTCACTAAAATTGATGTCATTACTCCCTACTAATTGCTCTCATACCGGTTTGCTTTCCTATTGAGTTCTAATTAACTTAGACATCATAATTCAATAGAACACCATATCGATGTTAGATTTCTATGTATAGGTGAAACTTGATATAGGAGACGAAGACATATGTGGTAYTCCTGTGGCAAATAGTCATATGTAGTGGGTCCCACGTAATCGTTCTGTTAAACCGTTTAGGGAATTCATTTCACTATTATAGATGGTTGGACATCTTACCTCGACACATAGCTTCTTAAGGGCTAACCACAGTGGTTTCACCRAGCTATTTGATATCGCTCTAGTCGAGCTGAATAGGTCAGACACCATGTATTTATGAAGTTGTGATGGGAAAAGTGTCACGTATGGCTATTTTTCCATTCTCTTTAGATSAAAAGTCATATTTTGCCCTCCAATGTCAGTAATAAAACATTGAGAAAAATGAAAAATGAAAAATGAAACATTATTTTGCTTTTCTTTATTAAAAAACTAAAATAAGTATCAAGAATTAAAAAAAAWTTAAGATRCTACCACCAAAACCCTAAAATGTTCCAAATGGATAAAAATAGAATCATCTATTGCAAGACAGAGTAACTTTCCTTTTTGAGAAACTTTCATAATTCTCTCCAAAGAATCTTCGAAACTTTATTAAAGAATAAAAGGATGGTGAAAGTTTTATCTACCTAAAAAAGGAAAAAATAAAATATTACACCATTGGGAGATTGCCTTTCCCTACCTATAAATAGCATAGTTTACAAGAGGGACTAGCACAGCAAATCTCAGCTTTATATCACAAAAAAAGAGTCGAAAAGCTAAGAGTGAGAAAAATGGTTCAACTTCCAAGATATGTGGCACTGAAATCAAAGTACAATGCTAATTATTTGCGCTATGTGAATGAAGCTTCACCGGTGCAAACGTTTGTGCAATACTCTGGAGAGAGTATTTCGACTCCATACACAAAGTTTGAAGTGGAGCCAGCCAAATCCGATCCTTCATTGGTCAACATAAGATGCAGTTACAACAATAAATATTGGGTAAGTTCATCCTCAGATCCTCGTTTCATTATTGCAGGATCTGACAAGAGTCAAGAAGACAAATCCCAATGGACATGCACATTATTTGAACCATCTTACGATAGTACAAATCAAGCATATCGATTTCGCCATGTCTACCGTGGCTTCAACGTGTGCCTATGGAGAGACACTACTGCCTATCAAAACTGTTTGATCACACAACAGTCAACCCCTGATCCAAATCTCTGCGATCTCTGCACAATAACTGATTGGGAAACATTGCTCCCCTTACCAAACTATGTTGCTTTTAAAGGACTTGATGGATACTACCTAAGGTTTTTTGAGATTTATGTGGGTCTTCGTTTTCCATCTCCGACATTTTTGGTATTTGATACGATTGATATCGGAGAGGATGGTGTTGTAATGCGAACTTTCACCACCAAAGATGGAAGTATTTATATCACGCCAAACAACTCAACAAAATGTTGGAAGCTCTCACGTGAATCGTGTGATATTTGTGTAGATTCAGGAGACACAACAGGTAGCGATCCTACAACTTTGTTTTGGGCAACCAAACTTGATACCAATACCATTGCTCTACGCAACTTGAGCAACTACAACTTTGCCACGAGAACCCCTTTCCCCGCATTGAATGTTGATGGTCTTAGAGCTGACTCTAGGACCATTGAACAAGCTTCACATTTACAAATGATAGAGCCTCTGATTTCACGAGAAATATACGACGTATGTTTCCGACCAGGAGATGCTAGAATTTATGACCAAACTGTACTCGTGATGGCCACTGGAACTGCTACCAACGATACACAAGTACCCAACACTGTGACCTTGAATCTCAAGTATACAGATACAACTTCTAGCACATGGAGCTCATCGGTGTCAATGAAGGTGGGAATAAGCGCAAAATTCGAAGCGGGAATTCCACTTATTGATAAGGGAGAGATTACAATATCAGGTGAGTTTTCTAATTCATCAAGATCTTGGGCACACTTTGGGATGATTCCAAGATTCTAGCCTCTATCTTGGTCATCAAAATCAATCTCTTTTGTAATTATGATATAGCCACCATCTTTCTCAACTTGAGTGCTTTCATTTGAGCCTCCTATTTGTATGTTCTTTACCTACCTGTCTTAATGAAATGATATTTTTTCAGGTGAGTTTTCAGGATCGTACCAATGGGGAAAAACAGAAACCACAACAAAAGAACTACAAACAACATATCAACTAACTGTGCCACCAATGAGTACTGTGACTGTCAGCTTGTTAGCAACACAAGGCACATGCGATGTCCCCTACTCGTATACACAACGTGACGTTCTCACTACTGGAGATACAGTAACCTATTACCTTGACGATGGTGTCTACCRCGGCGTCAATTCCTACAACTTCACATATAATACCAAAATGAAAGCATTTTAATATCTAAAATTATCATATAAAATAATTATGTTTGTGGGTAATATCTATATATATAATATAATAAAAAGGAAATACTTARCTCCTCAACAATAAGGTTGAGCAATCTTGTCCTCACCACTATTAAATATTTGACAACTCAGAAAATATGAATTTTTTTGTTTAAAAAATACTGAATTGTCAAATAAGACTTTTGGCGGTGAGTTCTTGCTCTACTTACCATAAGAAGCCTAAGTATTTTTCTAATATAATATATAGTATGAGTTATGAACTGAAAGTCATGATATATTAATAAAGTATGAGTTATATACACGTTTGTGTGGGTTCAAGTCATATTTGTTTGCATTTCCCCTCCCCTTGAGAACTAATATAAACGTGCTTTATTGTATTTCCATTGCTCGTACTGTATTTCCATAATTTCTTTTTATATATATTTATGTTAAATATATATGTGTATTAGGCCATGTTTGGAAATTTTCAACTTACTCTCCCTTTAAGAATTTTAAAATACCCAGTTTTATGAGTTTGTCAATTTAATAGGACAACTGTATGACCTTACAATTAAATCTAGTCCTTTTGGACCAATAAGCTATTCATGATGATTAGTCCCTGTACTTTTGTTAAAGTAACGATTTAGTCCCTTAAATATAATTTGTAACGATTTAGTCCCGGTACATTCAAATTAGTAAAAATTTAGTCCCCAAACTTTAATATGTAAAAATTTAGTCATTGTAATTTAAAGTTTGTAACGATTTAGTCCTTATCGTGAACTTTTTTTTGTTAAGTTTCTTATATATATCAATTGATAAACCAATGAGGGACCAAATATGTTTATATAATTAGAAAGATTAAATTGTTATATGATAAAACTTGAGACTTAATTTTAATAAAAATTTTCTCGATAAGGACTAAATTGTTAGAAAATTTAAACTACGAGGACTAAAACATTATAAACTAAAGTTCAGGGACTAAATCGTTACAAACTAAAGTTTAGGGACAAAATCGTTACTTTAGTCAAAGTACAACGACCAAATGTGTTTTTGAACCTTAAACTAAAATATATAATTCACTCTACTCAACTTAGTAAAGTGTATTTTCACATATTACATCCACTACAACAATTATTGGATTCAGCGATGAAAGCAAGCGACGAATTTTTTTTCGTCGCTTAAAATGCGACGCAAAAACTTTTYGTCGCTTAAAAATGCGACGAAACGGCGTTTGCGTCGCTGTGTTAGCGACGAAAGSTTGTTTGCGTCGCTGTGTTAGCGACGAAAAATGTTTCGTCGCTACGAACGACGTCGTTTGGCCAGCCTTTTAAAGCCAAACGACATCGTTGGCTGAGTATCATTTTTTTTGTAGTGATCATTTATTTTGTTAACCGATTTTAAAATTTGGTGAAAATAAGGTACTAACAGCAAAAAAATAAAAATAAAAAATAAAAAAAAAACAAAAAGAATATTTATGTATATACAATGGCGGATACAAAAATTTTGTAATTTTGTTTGAGGCTTCATACTAATTTTAATTTTCAAGTAAGTAATCTACAAATTTATAAATGTATGATTTCGAGGCCGGTGAGACTATTTTTGTAAATATGCCCTATCAATTTTCTTTTATTGCATCCCTCCATTTAGATTATAAAAGTATTAATAAAAAGCTAAACATCAAATATGACAATTTTATATTAAAGTCGAAGTTTTTACCAACTATTATATTTAAAATAACATCAAATCGTTAAATTCATAGTATATATGATGTAAAGTTAATAAAAATTTACTTTAAACTATCAATCCTCAAATTGTTGACTTCTTTGAATTCTTCAAAATTGAAACTAAAAATTATATAAAATAAGAACAACTGAATATGGATATTAAAAAAATGATGATTCAAAGAGAAGAAAAGAAATATCAGTACGATAATTTATAGAAAAAATATGAATAATATGTAACTACAATGTATAAATTAAAAATAAAAATAAATTTTGAAATTGTTAGCTACAGTTAGAACATAAATATGACAAATGGTGTATAAATTCAAAAGAATTTTTAAAAGAGTAGAAGATGAGTGACTACCAGATTTAAAATTAGAGTTTAAATGTCTCACTTATATATTCTCTTTCTTTTCCTTTATTAAAAATTGACATATTTTTTTTTTTTAGAAAATTTGCGATCCTTATCTCTTTATTTTCATTTTTTTAAAATTGTTATGATTTTCTTTTCCTTATTTAAAAATAAAATTGACAACACTTTTTCCAAATATTAAACTCACAGAAAATTGAACAGAAAAAATTGAAAAAATCACAAAATACAATAAAAGGAAATAAACATGTTCAAGGCTGGGTTCGAACACAGGCAGAAGTGGAGCATGAGGAAACCTAAATGAAAAAACAAAAAAGAAATAAAAATGTAAAAAACGGAGACACTAAGCCAAAAAAGAATCACATATTACATTTTTATATTTACTTATTTAATATGTTCAACCCAGCGTGCATCCTCCCTGTGTATATATATTAGACATAAAATTGAAAATTTTGAAAAATTGGATAGTAAATTAAAAAAAAAATGTAGTTGCTAAAACATATATTTATGTCTTACTTTGATATACATTTGTGCCTCTTTAATATGATATACATTTGTGCCTCTTTAATATATGTCAAAAGCAATAAATTTATTATCTAACTTGAATTTGACTCAATGATAATTGGTATATATTTTATCTCTTGAGGTTGGACATTCAAACTCTCATATCCTCAATTTATTGGTGTAGAAAATAAAAACAATAAATTTATTGTACTTAACTTGTTTGCAGCCTATTTATACTTTTAAGGTTTTACCTTGACTGGATTCTTTTAAATTTGCTAGATGGATTCAAAGACTAAGAGTAGCCTAAGTAGCAACAATCACCACTCATCTCTTTTTCTTCTTTCTTTTTTCTTTTTATTATTATTTTGAAATATATATACCAACCATTTCTGTAAAGTGTAYGTGAGAAASGTACAAAACGTATAAAAGGAAAGTGATGTGAAAGCACTCCAATTAACTAAAATTGTAGGAGAGCATAGCTATTTGGGATGAGCATAGCTATGTTTCTCATTTATCTCTCTAGAGATTTAAAATTTTTTTGAGGGCGTCGTACAGGACCGATAGATAATAAGTAGGCAGGCTTCTAAGAACGAATTGAATAAGAGCGGGTCTTCCTCCTAGAAAATATAGGAGAATTTCCAATTGTCGAATTTTCTCTCCAGTCTTTCGAGGATAGGCACCTAAAATGATTCTGATTTTGTATTGCCTCGATGGGGCATACTCAAACGAGAAATAGGAAGGTTGTGGATGGGAGAACCCCATATGTTGGCTAAGCCCTCAAGATCATTTGGAGGAATGTTGATTCCAGAAATAAGAGAATGTTTTAGAATGCGTTCTAAAACAAGAGAATGCAGCTGAGATATGGCTAAGATTCTTCATTATAAAATTTGGTTTATTCCCTTGTCATGTCATCCAGAAGTCTTTCAGAACTTGCGATTTATTCATGCTTACTCATTGCTCTTGTGACACCATACATTTCATCTCAATTTCTTCTTATCTCCTATAGTGATTCTAGGGAAAGTGGAATCCCCATTATTCCATCAGCATTCTAATCCATTTGAAGTATTCAAAAGAGAAAAGTTTGGAATATATGCAAACTACTTTAGTATTTTGTCATTTGTTGTTCGACGATACTTTCGTATCGATTAGACTAAGCAAAGGATTATAAGTATATAAGCAGAAGACGATATCTTTATTGGTATGAGAGCTTTTAATTTAAATCAATCAAAAGCGAAATCATGAAGTCTCTGACCCAAAGTGGATAATATTATGTCAAGGTAAAATATGGGGATGCTCGTTGTCCTTGATATTATTAATTTTTTATTAATCATTTAAAAAATTAAATTCTATTTCAAAACGAATATGACTTTGGTCAAGTACATGTAGATTCAAATACTTGATCACATGAAGTATGATCACCTCACTAGATAAGTTGAAGGATAAAGATAATTGTACTTTTTAATTACATTTTTTTAGTGATAGTTTTTATCGAGTAAAATCGAGGTGCCACATGTTGTAAGCTCTRCTAATCTGTGTAGGCTCGGCTAAGGAGGAACTGCAATAAACCAAGCACATTGTGCCCAATCTTCAAGCRCACTGGACATCCCATACAAAGGACAACCTATAGACAGGGCGTTGAATCCTATACCATAAACCGCAATATGTTTTAGAAAATAGGCTAGGGCACTGCACACTTCTCACTCGCAGTATTGAGGGGGAAAGAGGTTGTCCTTAATCTTCAATGGACCCAACTTGACATGCCACCTCYTTTGTCTCCGCCCTCACTCTTAAGCTCAGTCGCTCTCTCTATCCTTATATAAGGAAGATAATCACCTTATACCATGTAAGCCGAACTCCCCCTACACAACTTTTTGAAAGAATTCGACACACACCCAAAACGGACTCTTATTTTTGAGATTACTGTGCTTTTACTCGATTTGGAACATTCTCATTTRCTCCCAACTTGAGTTCTAAATTAAGAATCAAAATGCATTAGGTAAAGCACTATATCGGTGTTAGATTTCTATGTTCAAGTAACCGATAACTCGAGGATGAAGATATTCGTGGCACTTGCATGACACTTACGTAGAGCTTGCCCAGAAATCAACATCCACGTTAGTAAAATTAGAGAAACATGATGAAAAATTTCAAGATCTCGAGGATAAATTGATTCTSGCTCCATCTAACTCATTTTAAAATACCTAGAAGATAAAGGGTTGCCTTTAGTTTAATATGCAGAGCCACCAATGTCGTCTTCAATAAAAATCCTTCATCCACACCCAAGGGCCAAATATGTTGGAGATAAGGGAATGRATTTTATCCTTTTTTGTTTTTCCATTCTTTATTTCATTTTCTTTCCCCTTGAAAAGAACATTTAGAATTATAAAGAAAGTTATACTTTAAGAATTCACATCCAAGGACAAAGTATATATTCCAATATATATTGCAATACTTAAATAATTTTAGCAGAACAAATAAATAAATAAACAAAAAAATTGTAAGGAATAGTTGTATTACTAATGATACAAAAAA